AATCAAAAAATACCCAACATCCACAGTGTGTCACTCGTTAAGCAATAGTGCTCGGGTACTTACACATTATATTGATAGGATTTAGAATATATCTGCAGACAATTCGCCAAGTCATTGGGATCAGAAGACCGCTTGCACTTCCTATAGTAAGTCCCACGAGACACGGGGGCTCACCTGGAGTGACTGGAATTTGAAGGCGCCTTTTACTTACCGACCCTTTGTTTAACCAAATTGAGATAAAAGCTTTTCTTAATAATGTAGCTTCTTCGAATCTTTCTTATTCTTAGATATAAGTTTTTACCAAAGCCAATACGGACCATCCAATGATATCTTCTAAAATACCGTAAATCTTTGTCAGAGCCATGATTGTATAATAACTTCGATCTGATGTCTCAAGGGTGGATACATTCACGTTGTTCTTGCCTTCAGATCCAAATAACCACTCAACGCTAGAGACGTTGTAGGCAAGTCAACACTACAACCAGACTCTGACGCCACCCCTAGAAGGCCTAACCGATGGCTCGCCGAGGCGATATCCGACGACTCTACGTCGGCCGTCGCGGTACGACAGCCCGTTAGGCCACAAACAGTACGTAGATAGGTGACCCGGAATATCTCGCTGGACCAAAACCAGCCTGCCAGATAGCCAAGTGAAACGCCCTCGGTCACGATTCACCCACTCCGCGAGGATCGGGTGTACCGCCTCGATGGTCCCCGAAGACCTGTCGACGGGTTCGCCAGACGATGAGACCACGTCACCAACAAGGACCGCCGAGATGGAAGACTCCGCGCTCTAATCCCTCCATGTTTCATACACCGTAGATTCATTTCTTAACTGTTACGGGAACGGGATATCACGAATCACGATATTTTTTAGTAATTAGTGTAATAATAACTTCATTTTTAAATTAAGAAATGCAAAACTGCAAAACACATGTTGCTAAAAGTTTTCTTTACATTTTAAACCCTTTCTTTTAGGACTGCCGAACTAAAGGGCTCCCGTGTAATTCGATTAACAAAGAAGACTCAAGGGACTTTTAAATACCAAATATATTGTAAGCGGTATTTATGTCTCGAAAAGACAGTAGCATAATCCTGTTATTTGCATAGAGTTTGTTTTTCTAAAAGGTTCCTTTGTTTAAGCGTAAGTCAAACTTGCAAAAATTCAACCCTTTGGCGCTTCAAAACCGCCTGAACAATAGTTTTTAAATCTTTTGCACGCACACAATGGTGACGGTAGCTGGTATTTGTCGAATTTTATCTTTTACATTGGATTGCAGTTTTGTTCGTGAATGATTTCATGTGAAAGTGTCAGTCAAATTCTTTTATTGCGTTATCTAGGAACATAATTTGTGATTCTATAACTCATGATGGTGAGTGGAGAAACTTTACAATTGCCAACATCACCGTTTGCATCATTTGGATTGTTGGGGTTTCAATACTGGTATTACATGCTGAAAACACTATTGCTTACTGTGAGATATAATAGGTGGACAAAAAGGTTGAGTCGCATAATGTACAGGTAGACCTCCCATAAGTTGGATTAACGATCTGTTAATGATCACGAGATCCCATCAAATCCACTGATCGATGGCGCTGCAGCGCTGATATATATAGTAAGCTTGATAACAAATATTTGTCCAGCAACTACACATAGAATCTTCACACTTTTCTTGAATTTGGATGATTGGTTTTTAATTTTTTACTAATCTCAATCACTAGGTAAGCCGACTTAACCTAAAAGGTGTATGGCTCTAATAAAGAATAAAAAAAAAGAAACCACTAGGTAAAATCGATAATAATTTGGTATTCCATCATTGTGTTGTGCCCTACATACTCGTAGATGCTAGAGCTGTCTGAGTAGAATAGAATTAATTTTGGCGAAAGTAATTCTTAATACTTGTAATATTTAGTATATTTTTACTGTGTGGTGTTTGTCTAGAATTACTTCACTCTAACTCTTCCCGCAGATGTCATAAAGGCGACTACGGAGAACAGTGTTCTCTGAGTATTATACCGTACTGCAATCATCATTTACTGTAAGGCAGATAGACAGGCATGGGTGGTGGCTCTTCATGCAGACCCGTAAAGTATTATTTAAGTACCACCTGCCAAATTCCGTCGTGAATTAATCTTGCATTCCGGCTTGAAGCGTGATACATCATTGAAGGAAAATTTCGACTTCATGTCTTAAGGTAGGTAGCAGCAGTCTTCCCACATAATTCGCCTGCCCCCTAGTTGCGGACACCTCGTATGAGGTTCGGCCCTCTGCCAGAAAAATGATGTTTTTTTCTCCTACATAAGCTGATTGCCTTGAGAGGCTAATTCAGCGTAACCTTAATTAGTAGGAGAACTCATGGGGCTCAAACCTGACGACGTTGCTAACGCGAACCCTAGCGAGAGCCGTGCTTCGGAGAATCTACCACCGGATCGAAAACGCGACCCACTGAGAAGATTGAAGCGTGAAACTCAGTGGGCTGTGTCTGTGGGTTAAACAGAGTGGCGACATTCCCATTATGATATCTTACACTTAACATTAAGAGGTTTGAAAACAGGGGTTTCCTCATTAAAAAAAAAACAAAAATCAAAGAGTCTGTAACTACCAAAAAAAATTAATACTAAAACGCGCAAGTATCTAATAACACCAACTTCTCGCATTAAAACAACACTCAATAATCGTAATCTCGATGCTTCATAAATGTTACGATAAAACCGTTGTCGGCGTCTGAGCTCGTGTACAGAATAAGTTCTAGATAGGTTGCGTGCTGGCCACACAATGAGCCGCCGACATTGATTGATGGACTCGCATTGAACGAATACATTACGATTTTTGCTTTCATTTCGTTCGATACTAATGTCACAAGGTTATGATATCGACGCGATGGTTACGAATGGATGTTGGGTAAGCGTGGGTGAGATGATTTCTTGGATCGACGATACATTCGAGATATCTTTGGCATTGTTGGAACTGATTTTGTAACTGACTACGCAACGGCAGTAGTACAAACAGAATACGCTTTGAAAGATTAGGATGTTAAAATAAATGGAGTTTAATCGATATTGTAGACACAATTCATGTTTGAAATAATTAAGTTTGTATTAAAGGATCTAAGAAACTGTCGTCAGGAATCATAGTTTTTTTTAAAACTTGTTTTGGCTTTTAGATAAATGAAATTGCTATTTAATAAATAATTCCGATACTCCAGGTTGAAATTGTAACAATTCGAAAGTGTGATCCTAATCTAGCAGAATTTTTCGTCACTCGTAGTATTTTAGCTTGTGTTTGTTGCATTTTTTAAGCTTTTATTATGATTAAATGTTAAAGATGACAATTAATTCAATTTTTTAGCTTTTCTAGTTTCTCTTTAATTATTACGGTTTGGAGCACAAAAATCATTGGTAAATAAAAAAATGGACATAATAAATAAACAAAAGATATGAGTTATACGGTAATAAAGTCTATGGAAATTGTATGCAGCATACTTATTTCATTTTGACTGATTTTTTGACTAGAAACTCGTTGGTACTTATATGTTGATTTTATTTACACAATATACCTATATATTTTTTGCTAAGTTGCGTAGACTAGCTCGCGGCCCACCTGACGTTAAGTGATCACAGTAGCTTATAGACATAAATAATGAAAATGTCACCATCCAAATGGCACATAAATAACGTACATTTTATTATATAAAATTATTAAAAAAAAAACATAGCCGTACTGGTGGTAGGACCTCTTGTGAGTCCACACGTGTAGGTACCACCAACCCGCCTATTTCTGCCGTGAAGCAGTAATGCGTTTCGGTTTGAAGGGTGGGGTAGCCGTTGTAACTGTAACTATACTGAGACCTTAGAACTTACATCTCAAGGTGGGTGGGTGGCGCATTTACATCGTAGATGTCTATGGGCTCCAGTAACCACTTAACACCAGGTGGGCTGTGAGCTCGTCCACCGATCTAAGAAATAAATTTAAAAAAAACGTGAAATGATACCTACTGCTATTGTTACGTAACTAATTACTTGAAATAAAATCACAGCGATCGAGATGAAAGAAAACGTTTTTTACAATCTCTTGTTTTGTTAAGGCAAAGATTTTAAATAACGTTTTAACAGTGCATTGGACTTTAAAAATCGACCATTTTGCTTTATTTATTCTGTGATATGACGGACGATGATTTGCATTGAGACTTCAATCTGATGTCTCAAGATGGCGGTCTCCAGGTGACGTTGTGTCCATGGACTATCTTACCATTAACACCGAAAGGGCAATCTACGTTGAAACTGAAATTTATTTACCCAAGTGAAAATACAAATTGAAAAAAGGTGAAAAGTAAATCAAATTGAAATCATTGCTATATTTATTGGTTTCGTATTCACAAGTTCCTATTTTAGTTACAAAACATTTTTTTTTCTTCGTTGGAATTCATATTCTCATTTTATACGTAAGCCTAAGTCATTGTCTACATCACATGGGTGTGGCTTCGAAATTCATAAAATTACATACATTTTCATTTTTAACACTACATTTCAAAAGAGTACTAAAATATTATTTTAACATCTAAATTAAAACATTACAAAATTCAAGCGCACGTTAAGTTAATGCAATTAGACAACGTGAAATTTAAAATTATTTTCAAACGGTAACTTTCGTAGTTTCCATCAACGAGGAAGAATTACTTCAAAGATAAAAAAATAAATAGTTCAATTCAATGACAATGACTCGAATTGAGGTGTTACAAACTCCAATCGCAGCAAATTTTACATAATACCCTAAAATAATAATCACACTTTTGACATTGTAAAGTTTTCCACTTAGCTATTCAAACATTCACGACCGCTTATTTATATTCCGAATGGTCTAAATCTATGAGTACTTACACAACTTATGCTTAACCTTAAATTATAACTCATCACTTTATTACACCATATCGACACAAAAGGAATGGTAAGAACAGTCAATTAATGAAAAATATATAGTTATTTTCTTACACATCTAAAGATTATAAGGCAGTTAGACCGTAGTCTGATTTGATGACCGGCTGATTCGGGATGCCCGTGCCGCATCCGGTGGCGCTGACAGGAGACCCGTGTGCTGAAAGGTTCGCGACCATACCCGGATCCAAGTTGCCGTGCAATCCCATCATGTGCAGATGATGCGGTGTCATATGCCCTGGGTTCATGCTTCCAGGGTGAGACATTGGACTGATGGCCGTGTCGTGAGATAAATTCTGCTGTGCTCCAACACAATGCAAATCGTTCATGATATTATCCGTAACATTTTCTATACTATCCGGACGACCGTTGTTGTTTGATTTCTTCTTATCGTTATTATTTGTATTCTTATTCGATCTACTCTTTGGTGTGGCTTTAGCCGTTGTTGTGGTGACTCCTGCTGGATTCGTTTTTCTTCTAACGTTTTTGGTGTTCGGCAATTTATTATCCTTCTTCCATTTCATTCTTCTATTCTGGAACCAGATTTTGATTTGTCTCTCTGATAGGACTAGAGTGTGAGCTATTTCTATTCTTCTTCTTCTGGTTAGATATCTGTTGTAGTGAAATTCCTTTTCCAGTTCTAATATTTGGTGTCGCGTGTAGGCTGTGCGCTGACGTTTAGGCTCCATTCCGGGCTGGAAAGATCCATTTGCTGCCAACAAAAAAACATAACATATAGTTAGTGACAGTTTTATTAATGTGTCAAAGATTTATTCGTGTTATTTATAAGATAGTACTTGGATTGTTTAATTCGAACCTAGTTATTGTAATGGTTTTTGGACTATTGTATCCCAAACAAACATTCTATAAAAATATACATAGCTTTTTTTTATTGCTTAGATGGAAGGACGAGCTCACGATCCATCTAGTGTTAAGTGGTTACTGGAGCCCATAGACATCTACAATGTAAATGCCGCCACCCATCTCGAACCATGAGTCCTAAGGTCTCAGTTTTTACAGTAGAATTGCTACCACCATTAAAGCCGAAAAGTATTACTGCTCCATGACAGAAATAGGCAGGGTGATAGTATCTACCCGTGCGGATTCACAAGACGTCCTATCAGTGATTACGCTAATTATAATTTTGCGGATTTGATTTTTAGTACGCGAAGCTATCCTTTACCGTGGAAGTCGATCGTGAACATTTGTTAAGTATGTATTTTATTAAAAAATTTACCTGCGGGATTCGAGCACCGATGCATCGCCTGATACGAATGCACCGAACGTCTTAAGCTTTAGGTCACGACTTCGTTCGACAACGTTCAATTTAAGAGGTTACACACAACACAAATTTGATTATGCTATGTTCTAACATCGAAACGCCTCCTCAGAATTCCGTGGACCACGCACCGTACCAACGTGTCGATCCTGAAAGAGCTCAACCTCGAGGAGATACTAACGTCAACAGTCCAAATACGAATTCTCAAGTTCTTCGGGTACACCGCTCGTAATGAGGACTCCATTGAGCGGTTGGTGGTGCAAGGGAAAGTCGATGACAAAAGATCTCGCGGACGATCTCCTACACGATGTACCGACCTCCATCTGTGACTCACTCCAACATTAATTATGCTCTCACTCTGCGAAACATCGTGCCACATGGTGTCGCATCGCGAGAGCATCGGTTTCGCAAGTTTCAACTGATGCATGACCACGACCATTCTGTGAAGAGTGTACGACTAAGAAGAAGAAGAATGTTATAACTATGTGGCTCATGTGAAAAAAAAAGAGTACTGTAAGTTCTATTTATTTTTATTAGACATGGACAAACTTATGACCTCAGTATTTCAACTGGGAACTACCGCGGAAAGAACAGAGCCACCAAATACGAAGGCATTCTTTTATTTAATCACGCACAATTATCCCGTAATTTTATTTGCACTTAACCCCATATTACAAGACTACCATGAAATATATAATTACACATAAACGCTACACCTATCAATGACTGTGGTACAAAAGAAAACTTTATCTTCATTTTTAGAAAGATGGTTTTCGCGTGTTCTCATTTCGAGATAGAATGAGTAATTTATGCGCATATAATGTATCGCACTCTGGTGGGTGTTAATTAATATGCATAATTACGTATGTGCATGAGCATGAGCTTCCTTTCTGTAGTGATTAATTGTGTATAGCAATTTTATTTATCTTTGAGAGTAGCCTAGTGTAATACTGCCTAATGCTACTCGTATTGTGAGAGACAAAAAAACTAAAAAGAGACCGAATCTGTTATTAAATCATCCAAACTGAAAAGCCCCTTGTGCATCGTCTCAACTGCGCAAGGTTTCATCTTTTACATTACAAGTTTATTAAAAAGTTTTTTCGAATTCGAATATCTTTGTTTCTACAATCCACAGACCATTTACTTCAGCATTCACTGTAAAAACGTTAAATAGCGCTGGCTCCATAGAAACCTCTCTAAAACAACCGGATATAAAAAACTGACGCTTTAACCTTAAGCTGATTCAGATTAAAAAATACTTGTATTCTAATTGAGTAGTTTTTGGTCCTTTCTATCAAATTTACTTTTGATTGTGTTTTAGTTTGTAATAACAAAACTTTTTTTTTAACTCTTTATAAATTCATTAGAAAACACTTGCAATAAATAAGCTTTTGAAAAAAATACTTAAATTCAAATTGCATTCCATTTTATCAATACAAAAAGACTTAATTACATTTGTTCGTATTATAATAGTATACAAAATCCTAGTGACTTAAATGGCGCTTTTGTCGTCTGAAAGGCCTATTAATGTTGTAATTTCCTTTTAGGGAAATTGCTATTATGCCGCTCGTCAAAGGAGCTTAGTCCTGACGTGACGACTTTAGCACTCAATTCTTAAAGCTTTCAAGACTGTTAAAAGTTTTAGTGAGAGTAGATTAAAAATAGAGCTTACATTATATTTAATGGCAAACTATGATATTCCAAAAAATCCTATGGCTCAGTAAAAAATACACTTGTTCACAGAATAATTTAAATACAAATTTTATTAATGATAAATATCTTTACTGGTTTATAATTAAAAAGTGTGTTTGCCTGCTGTTTGTACGCACTACCAGATAGTGGCTAGCCGATAGCTAATAGGCTACTAGTCCACTGAGTTTCTCGCCGGATCTTCTCAGTGGGTCACGTTTCCGATCCGGTGGTAGATTCTGCGAAGCACGGCTCTTGCTAGGTTTCGTGTTAGCAACAACGTCAGGTTTGAGCCCCGTGAGCTCACCTACTAGCCCGGTGACGCCGATATGGTCTCTCTAGACCATCAGTTTAGGTAGGAAAAAATAACGCAAATATATGTAGACTTTCTAATTGGTTTACTAAGTTTATTATCGTGTAGTGTCTCATAGCCAATTGAACATTACGGCGAGACTAATAAAAATGATCTAGAAACAGCTACGTTGCATCTTTATCGTTCACAAAGTACAAGCGATTTAAACATGATTGAAAGAATATATCGCGGTTTAAATCGTCTGGCAGATAACCAAATATTCTTAGTGAAAACGTGAGCGGCAAGAGGAACTACATAATATATTGTATGTACTTATATTACATACATATTTCTATCGCGAAACGGCTATGCATTTCAGTATGAAAAAAAAGCAATTGTTTTATATTTCTCCACTTCATTTGTACTTATTTATATCTTGTGAAATGAATTGCAAGAATATAAAAGCTTCTTTTTAACAAGCATCTACCTATCAGCTTGATATTTATATACATATTTAGAGATAACTAAAGGATTTTTACAACGTATTTTTTAACAATTTCAAGACCTTTTATTGGACTGCACGACCAATGACATTGGAATAATTTAATTATTTTTCTGTAATATCTTGACTAGTATGGGTGATCAGGATAAATGGATAGTCATTTTTTTTTAGTTCCGCTTGTTATTTGTGTTAAACGTGATTTGCGATTCCGATCCGATGGTAGATTCTGGGAAGCACTGCTCTTACTAAGGCTAGTGTTTTTATTGCCTTTGTAGGCAGAGGAGCACACCGTCCACCTGATGGTGAGTGGCTACGCTAGGGGCAGAGCCAAACCACTACCTACTATTAAGAACTCTCCCCAAGCATCGTTTAAAAATGACATGTCATAGCGCTCGGAAAACACCGTAGAGGAGAAGCTCATTCCAAAGTCGGATGGTACGCTGCAAAAAAATTTCTGGAAGCGCACTGTGGATGAACGCATTGGTTCTAGGTAGTATGGATGAGCTCTACTCCGGTGGCGGGCAGTGTGATGGTGGTGTTAGCGAAGTCTCTCGGGTTGGGTCCGTGAGCTACCAATTCGTTCGCGCGTGGCTGGAATAGCCCCTTAGGCTACCAGCCAAAAAGTAGGGAAAAAATAAAGAAATAAAAGCGTATTTTTGTAGTTTTATACCTTACTTATCGTTTAAAAAGATGCCTTTTTAGTTGGCACTGGCTGACTAACAAGTAGGTTTGACCATTCGGTTTGCTTTTATGTACGTTTGCAATACAACCAAGAAAGCTGATATAGTTAATTTAAATGCGAAAATTCATTGGTCCTTAGACCTCCTACCTGGTATCTTAAGGGTAGTAGGGTAAGGTAGGGTAAGGTATCGTAAGGGTAGGTAAAGGTAGGTAATGGGTCTACTGGATGGGTATCCAGTAGACCCATTAGGCCCACCCATCAATAACGCAACTAACTGATAATTTTTCCGGAGCGAATTATTATTAGATTAAGAGTAGGACCCGAGACTTATATAATAACCCTTTAATTAAATGGTATATCTTGAACGGTAGAAACAATAAAGGCATTTAGAAAAAAAAATTATTAGTCGATGCAGTAAATATAATTTTTATTAGTGACGTTAAAACAGAGCCATACGTAGATTTGTTGTACGAGCGAACTCAAGACTGTATACCGTTAAAATTCTTTGCGAGAAAAGGACAACAGCTGAAGAGGTCAGGCAATGGCATTTTCGTGAAAATGTTTACGACCCTGCAAAGGAATGCGCGGTCAGGCCGAGATTCCCTCAGCGGTTAGCTAGGCATCTAACCGATCTGGGTGTAAGGATTGACAATGCGCATTATTTTAAACAATACAGATAATAATGGCGTCCATAATCGGCAATCTATCGGTTCAAAGATGAAATAAAATAAATAAAAAAGAATACCTAATGAATACGCATCGAAAATAATTAACGAAAGATTCAAATGTACCTACAAGTTGTTTTTATTATATTTGGCACCAAACACCGTTCTTGTCGAACCCGTCGCTTGCGACGAAGGACTCGGCGAGTAAGCTAACCCATAGACACAGCACACTGAGATTCTCGCCGGATCTTGTCAGTGGGTCGCGTTTCCGATCCGGTGGTAGATTCTGCGAACCACGGCTCTTGCTAGGGTTCGTATTAGCAACATCGTCACGTTTGAGCCCAGTGAGCTCACCTACTAGTTAAGGTTACGCTGATATGATCTCTCTAGACCATCAGCTTAGGTAGGAAAAAAAAAACTTTCACCACTGACACGAACCGCTAAGCAACTTAAGACTTGCTATATGTTAAACTGTTTCCAGAAAGTTTCATTTTAAAAAAAAAAAATCTCGTCAATAGCTACTTATCAAAAAAGGAAAACAAATAACCAATGCTAAGCACTGCTCTTGCTAAGGCGAGTGTTAGCAACGTCCTCAGGTTAGAA